ATCTTTTTTGAAGCATAGACTCGGTTGTCGAGCGCTTGTATGACATTAATAAAACTATAATAAAATTGACTTTTTCGAATTTAATAAGATTAATATTATTAATTGATTAATATTAGAGTAGTTATTATATAAACCTTAATAAAAACTAGACGACTGCAAATTTAATTAAACGGATTTATTAAAAAAAATCTAGCTATGGAAAAAATAAAAAAATGAAGGTTTTTTTTTATTAAGCTATACATAATATTTCAAATTAAAAGCGTTATGGGTTCTTTAACCTCAAGGCTGCAGAAAAAACTTTTTTTAAGTATGTTATTAAATCTTGTAATAAAATTATATCTTAGTTCAAGTTCAAATCTTAATTTTTAATACTTTTTTTATACTTTAGAAACAGTAAAAATAATTTAGATATATAATTTGTATCAAGTCAACTGGAACGTCAGTTCAACTTCTGTTGAAGCAGATTTGCTTTATAAGCTGAAGAATTAGAACTGCCTGTAAGTTGTTATATGGTAGGAAGCTGCACTAGAAAATAAATTTATAAAAGATGCTAATATTTTTAAAATATTAGCAGTGTAGTGTGGCTGGTTAACAAAAAAAAACCAACATCAAATTCTTCACATACTTTAAAAAAAAGATTTTATACTTCTTACTTTTTAGATCTTTTTTTTGGTGGGATAAAAAGGTATTAAAAAGTTTTTTTATAAAAAAAATTAATTTTAAATTATACAAAAGATAGCCAAACTTACGTAACCTGCTTAACAGTTAAAACTTTTTAGTACTAAACCTTTTTTTCAAGGGCAAGTCGTTTATCTTTTGTATTTTTGTAAACATTCTTAGTGCCAACTTTTGGAAGATTTCAAAAAAATTTTATGTTGCCCACGTGTTCATTTTTAGGATAAAATTAACTTTTGGAAGATTACGGCTCTAATAATGCGACTGTGTTTAAGCTTTTTTAAAGTTGTTTTAGAGGGAAGTCAGTTGCTTTATAATAATACATATCTGCAACTTTTTACATAATTTTTTTATTGGAATTATACTCTTTTCAGAGGAAAATACATGCCTAAATTAAATTTTATTAAGAAAATATTTTGAAAGCGGTTTTTATGAAATTTTATTTTTTAAAAAAAATTCATGCAAATATTAACAAAATTATATTTACCGAATATATTTGTATGCAATATTTATACGGATAAATTTTTTTAAGTAGAACATTAAAAAATTAACAAACTTTTTTTTAACGCTTTATAAGTTACTGGTTACTATGTTTACACACTTGTCGCCCAGGTTCCGTTTGCAAGAGAAGAATCATGGAAATTGACCCTAATGGAAGACTCGATCTCTGAACCATTTCAGGTAAGTTTGAGAACCATGGTCTAATGGATTAGGTAACAACCCACAAAACAAAAATGTGGTAAATATAGTTGTCAGAGAACGTAAAACAAATCTATTTTAAGCCCGAGTTTTGCCCTTTTAAAAATTACAAATTTTTTTCTGTGGAATTTTCTAATTAATTTTTTTTGTAGGGAATACACGCAAATATTAGTTAACGTTTATTAAGCAAAACTTTTTGTTTCGAATTTTATCATGGGATTAAAATTTTTTCCAAGAATCCATGCAAAAATTATAATTTAAAATAAAAAAATTATATTTCAACAACTTTATGCTAAAAGAAATTTTTAAAAAGCAAAGAAAAACGCCACGCGAATTTATTTAGTTTTTGTTTGGTCTTTTCCAAGTGATGAGCCAAACCACGCGGCACCGGAAACAGGCTTAAAAATATTAAAAGTAAAACTATTGAAATACACCAATTAAACGGTTATTAATAAAAACTTTCATATCAAATATTATAAAAATATAGTTATTAGTGTATTTATTATCGTAGAAGATAAAAAAAGTTTACTCGAGTAGTAGGCAAAAGCGATATGAATAAGAACTCAAATTCTTTTACTTTTCAGCAATTTAATAATATATTTAAACCTTGAGCTTTATACGTAGAGATCAATTTTAAATTGAAAAAACACGACGCCTTCTCGTCCAAGGTAAACTACTTACTAAAAACTAATTCCCAATACCTATGCGGGAGCCACCGCTTTTTAGTAGCTACAGCTCTTTCATTCATCGGATTTTTGCTAAAAGTAAACTTAACAGGCATACTTTTACTTAACACACTTGCAGGAAAGAAGTATTATTTTTAATGATTTTTTGTTTTTGAGAAGGTTATTTTTTTAAATGTAGAAAAAAAATAATTTTTTATACTCCAACTGCATTCTTTGTAAAAAATAAAAATTTCATTATTTTCTCAGTTTATATAATAAAATTTATTCTAATATATAAATTCTGATGATTATTAAAAGTTTTACTTTCATACTAAATATTTTTAAAACAATTTTTTTTATATTAATTTTTAAATGTTTATTTAAAAATTACTTAGCTTCAAATTATTTATTAGCTTCGAGGAAATCATTTGTTATAACTTTTAAGTAACTTCCTTTTTTAAGAGATAATATGATATGTTACTTAAACCATTATTACGTAATAAATATTATTTATTGTAAAGTTATCTATCAAATTTATATATTATTTTTTTTTTAAAAATTTTAAAAATATAATTATTTGGTATTAATTTGTTATTAACCGTATAATAATTATTTATATAAATAATATTATATATATATATTAAAAATTAAATAAATATTAATTATTTTTTTTTTAACCAAGATTGTTTCGACAAATATTAATTATTTTTATTATCTAATAAATTTTTTTATATAATAGTAATAAAAATATCGTCAAACGGCTTCTTTTGCTGAATGAAAATTAATTTCAGTGTCGCTAACACGAGCGTTTGATGAAAGGCTAATAACAATATTTGCAAAAATTAAAAATAGATTTTATTTTTTACTATATAATAATTTTTCTACTATAAACTATTTTTATAAATTTTTTTATTATTTTGTTATATAATAACTAATACCAAAATTAAAATTTTATACTAAAAATATTTTATTTCTGGTTAATTTTTTTATAAACTAGTTTTTTTTATTTTCATTATATAAAAGTTTGTTTGTTATAAAATTACTAATTGAAAAATTAAGGTTAATATTTTATATTAAAATGATAAAGTATATATTTTTTTCAAATTAATTTTATCTAAATATTATTATTCTTATTATTAAAAACGTTAATATTTATATGAAGTTCTTATAATAATAAAGTTATATACAATAATAATTTATATTATAAATTTGTTATTTCGGGTTTATTTTTTTTAAAAAATTAGATTTTAATATTTTCCTATTTTTATATAAATTTCTTGTAAAGATGTTTGTTATAAAATAATTGATTAAAAAGTTTTGGTTAATACTTATTAATAAAATAGTATATTTTAAAATTTTTTGATTTAATTTTCTTTAAATCTAAATTCAATTTGTTATAATATCAAGAAAAATATAGAATTTATTTAAAAAAGTTATTATAATGATTAAGTTAAAAATATTAGAAAAAATTAATGTTTTTGTTTAATTATTTTCTATAACTGGCTTCATAAACTAATAATTTTTTATTATGAAACAGTAAAATTCTTGTAAAATAATTACTAGTAAATTTATAAATTTATTTAAAAAATTTTTTAATTTTTTTTCTTGTTTAATGTTGGATATAAAAAAATAACTTGATGTAAATTTTATATTTTATTAATATAATTAATTTTTTTAAGTAATAAATTTACTTTTGGTATGTAAACTTTTATTTTTTATAAAATAATATCCAATAGACTGAATTTTTTATTATAAAATTTTTCTGCAGTAATTTATTAATCCTTGTTTATTTTATATGACTTAAACTAAATTATTACATTAACTTTTATAAATTTTTTTGAAGTAATTTTTTTAATCCTCGTTTATTTTATGACTTAAACTATATTATTACATGATAACTTTAATAAAAATTTTTTGAACGTAGTCATTTGTTTGTTATAAAACAATTTGATAAACGTTGAACTATTTATCATGAAATTTTTTGCAGTAATTATTTATATAAATTTATCTGTTATTATTTTTTTATTTTAATAATAGAATTTTTTTATTTGCAAAATAATTTGTTTATTATTTTGTTAAAGATAATTATTTGTATATTTAGAATTTGTTTTATTTAAATTTATTATATAATATTTTTAATTTTTGCAAAAAATTGTTTAATAATTTTTGATTGAAAATTAAAAAATAATTTTTAATTTATTTTTATATATTTATAAATTACAGTTAATAATTTATAATATAACTTAAAAATATTTTTTATTACAAAAAAATTTGTTTTTAATAATTTTTTTATTAACTCATTTGTATTAACAGTAAATAAAATTTGAAGTTTTTTATATTTTGTATATTTATAATTTCCAGCCCCAAAAAATAAAAATAGCCAATATTTTTACTAGAAACAATAATAACCAATTAAAAAAATTCTTTAGAAAAAGTATACATATTTATAATTAATGTACTAAAAAAAACTTAGAATAATTATATTATTAAATAATAATATAAAAAAAAACCAAAAACTTAAATAAATAAAAGTAATTTAAAAAATTATAGATAATATTAATAATAATTGAGAGGTTAATAGTAATAATAAATAGTACATATACTTTTTTTTGATAATTATTTATTATAAAAAAACTTTAATACAAAAAAAAATTAATTTTTTTAGCAAAAAATGAAAGCTGATTAATTTTTTTATGTAGATAATAATAATAATAATAATAATAATAATAAAATAATAATAATAATAATAATAATAATAATAATAATAAAAGTACTTTTCACTGCTTTGAACCTGTTGAACTTGCGGGTTATACGAAAAAATGAAAAGGGATCATTTCCATTAGAGATTTTCGATTCCAAATAACTAAGAAATAATAAATTATAGTAGATAAATGATATATAACCATAGTAGTAATAGTAATAATAAATAAATAAATCAATAAATAATAATTACTTGAAGAAGTTTATTACAGAATTATCTTGAGAAACTTTTTCAAATGATTCGCTTCCTATGAAGAAAGTCAGAAAAATCAATTTTATTATTAAAAGAAAAATTAAAATAGTTATAAATAATAATAAATACAGAGTATATTTAGCACAAGTAAATACTTTTTTAATATCAAGTTTTTGGTAATATAATAACAACAGTCTTAACTAATATAATTATTATTTTTATTTAATTAGAAAAGAGAACTTCATTAGATATTAAAAAATATTTTTAAAAAATATATAAAACAATTAATGTTTTTATTTATTTAATAAATTTTTAAATAAAAATTATAATATTGAAATTAACTAACAACTCAGAAAAGCAATACTTTATTGATATTTTGTGGTATAAAAAAAAAATTAATTATAATTATAAATAATTATATATAAAAAATCAAATAAATTTTATGAAAAACTTTTATAAAATTTTCAGTTAGAAATTCGAAATTTTTTTTAATAAAAATTTTGATCGAGATGGAAAAAATGAATTTTTATAACAATTATTTAACACTTTGCATTAAAAATTTTTTACTAACATCTTAAAATTTAAAATATTAGAATTATTTTTACTCATTCAAAAAATTAAATAAATAATTTTTTTTTTAGTTTTTTTCTTTTAATGCTTAATAAATTTTTTTAAGTAGAAGTAATTATATAATGATTAGTAAATACTTTATTGGATGTATTTAAATTTTTTTTTTACTAATTTAACTAAAAAAAAAACAGAATTAATCATTGACTTCTTTTAATTGCTTTAAAAAAATATTTATATCTAGTAGCACTATAAAAGTTATTATATTTTTTTAAAATTTTAACTAAAATATTTGAAAATAAAATAAATATTTTTTATACTATTACATATAAATTTTAAAATGCTTTAAGAAAAAAAATATTTATTAATATAGCAATAATAATTATTATTATAAAATAAATAATAAACTAATAAATTTTATATATGTTTTTTTAAAATTATATATAAATTATTTTAAGATAAACTTTTTTTAATCTCTCTACAAATATTTTAAATTAGTTAATACTTATAATTATTATTATAAAAATAAAAAAAAATTTAATAATAAAAATAATACAATAATTTAATTTTAAATTAATTATTTTTTAATATATTAATTAATTAATTTTATTAACTTTGATTTAACGGCTGTAAAAATATTTTAAATTAGTAGCACTAATAAATATATTATCATAAAAAAATGTTACTAATGAAAAGTTTACAATTAAATTTTTGTTATTTTAAATATTACACAAATTATTTTTTTTAAATTTAAATTAAGCGTTTCAATAAGTGTTCATAACTAATAAAACCTAATAAAAAAATTAAATTTTAAGTTTTTTTTTCTTATTATTATTATTATTATCGATATAGAAAAAACTTATTATAAAAACTTTTACAAATTGTTATAAATAAGTATGATAATAATAAATAATAAATAGTAAATATACAATATATATTTATACTAATAGATGATATTCCATAAAAAAATGTATATAAAAATTATATATACATATTAAAGAAATAAGTAATAAAAAAGGGTTTATGGTGTATATAATAACAAAACAACGTCAAAAGTGTAAAAAAAAATAATAAAATATCATAATTCTATTAATTTTTAAAAGTTTGATAATTTTAAATTAATTTTTTTTAGTAATAATAATTCTTTTATAAGAAGTAAAGTGGAATTAATAGTAGCAATAGATTGATATGAAGGTTTTTAATACTTTTCTTTTCATTCTTACCAAAAGTTATAGTCTTAAAAATTATATAAAAGAAGATTTTTTTTATATTTGTTTATAATAAAAATAAATTAATTAAGAATTTGTTTTTTTAAATTTTTTTAAATATTTCTTAAAATAATTATAATAATAATAACTTCTGCTTCTTATTAATTTCGAATCGCTCATATTTTCCGAACTACGTGAAGTTATAGTTGAAGGAGACATGAATTCTTTTATAATATAAAATAACAGTAAACTAATTATAATATAATCATAACTATAATAAATTGATATGTAATAATAATTACATAAAAATTATAGTACATATAAAAATACTATATAAACTTTTATTTCTTAGCAAAATACAGTCAATAAAACTTTTTCTTATTTTATAAATATAAAAATTTAATAAAAAATAGTAAAATAAATTTTTTTAGTGTAGTAATAATGATTATATAAAATTATACTACTTATAAAAATACTATAAAAACACAGTTAACTTTTTTTATTTATAGTATATATTAATAATTAATAAATAATAGTATAATATAATTATTTTAATTACTAGATAATATAATAGTTATATAATAAAATATTTCATTAATAAATGAAGGTTTTTTTATATTTTAAAAAAAAATAAATCTATATTTAAAATTTTTCTTTGCTTTTTATGAAGATTGTATTATATTAAAAAAAAAATTTCTAATAAATATTTTTATTCTATTTTTCTTATTTTTTTTTATTATATCTAATTATTATCAAAAAATCTGATTATTTTTATAGTAAATAAAAGCAACTTATATATAAACCTTTTCTTACTATATCAGCTATAAAAAATATATTTTTATAGTAAAAAGCACCTTCGTTTGGCCCAAATAAGTCCTCAAAGGAAACATCTTTAACGGGGCTAAGGAGAGAGTTTGAAGAGAGTTTAGAAGAACTGTTAATAAAAAAAAAGTATTGGATATTATTCTATAAATAATAAAAATAAAAAAAAGTAAAATAATTAAAAAATGTTTAAATCTAATAAAAGGAATAAAGAAATTAACAAATAAAACTTTTAATTATAAATTATTATATAAAAAAGTTTTTAAATATAATAAATTATTATTAAAATTGTTAAATAATAAGATGTTATAATTTGATTAAAAAAAGGTTTCGATAAGATGTAATTTTTTTAAAATAATTATGAGATTAACAAAAAAAACATTTTATTATAAATGTATAGTTGCAATAAATATTATATAAAAAATTGTAAAATATAATTTAATAATTATTAATCATTTTGTTTTCCAATTTTATTTATAATTTTTTTTTTTAAAGTTCAATTAAGTAGTTTAGATAAATTTTTTTTACGATAAATATAATAAAATAATAAAATATATAAATTATTTTGAAAAATTTTATATTTAAAAATAATTGTTATTATTATAAAAAATTGTAAAAAACCTTCATAAATAATTATAACTTACTCTGATTAACCTTAGTATTAGTATATTAATATTATTTTTATTACTTTTATTACTTTTATTAAAAAATTATTTTACTAATAAACTTTTCCTTTAAGTAATAAATAAAATTAACTCTGATTAACTTTTTTAAATATTATAAGAATAAAAAAATTTTTATTACTACTACTAATAATAAAAAAATATATTTAATTAAAATATAACAAATGGTATAAATTTATATATAATGTATTGTTTACTAATAAACTTATACTCAATAATTTTTATAAAAATTTTACTTCATTAATATAAACTAAATTGGATTAACTTTCATATTAGGATTATTAACAAAAGAATAAAAAATTATTAATAATTATAAATAAATAATAAAAATAATTAGTCGAAATGCTTACAAATAATATTTTACTTTCTATTATTATATAAAAAATATTAATTATTAATAATAAACATTGGCAAAGTAAAATCATCTCACAAACGAAATAATCATGTGTTAAATAAAAAGAATGATATTTTTTTTAATTGTTAACCCGAATTTGTCGTGCTTCTCCTCAAAAGGACTACCTATTAGTTAATATTATTTCTATAATAAAATTATTAATATATAAAAATTTGTTTTTCTTATATTTTATTACTTTTTGGATATAAAAAGTTTTATTGTTACTGTCATTATAATTATGTGTTTATTGCTATTACAACCATTTATTTATAAATTTTACTATTAATTATTACTACTTATTTACTATTGTTTTGTTTCTTGTTATTATCATTAGTAATAATAAATTACTAGAAATTATTATAGTAACAATTATAATATTTTATAGTTTCTTAGTATTATTATTTATTTTTATTAGTACTAAAAAAATTAATTATTATTATCATTATTTTTCATGTTATTTATTATTATTATTATTCTTATAAATATTTCTTACAGTAACTATTACTATTATTTTATATATATATTTTTATTTTTTTGATACAATTATTATTGCTATTAGTATTTATTATATAATTTTATTATAAACTATAATTGACAAGTATAAATTATTTTCATTATTAAAATTTAATTTTTTATTTTATTAATTTTTTATTGCTTATACTATTATTTATTATAATTAATTCATATAATTATTTATTAACATTAATTACTAATTTTATATTTTTGATTATTGTTATAATTATAAATTAATATAACATTATTTATTAGCATATTTTTTTTATTACCTATCATTTTTATTTCTACTACTATTTATTATTATTGCTGTTAATATTTTAATAAATAGTATTATTACTACTATAACTATTTATAATAAATAAATATAAAAAAAGTTTACTGCTATTATTATTTACCGTCATTATTTTATTATCTATTATTTGAAGTTTAATCTATATAAATTTTATTAGTATAAATAATTATATAAAATATTATATTCTTGCTATTAATATTTACTATAATTATTATTTTGTTACCTTTATATATATATATTATTAAGAATTTATTCATTTTTATCATTAATTCTTATTATAAATAAAATTTTAAATTATTATATTATTACCATTTCTCATTAATAATTCATTGTTAGTGCACTATTAGTACTTTTTTATTTATTATTACCAAAGTTTGGTGACCAGCCAATAACTGGAGAGTCCAAAGACGGCGCTCCTCTTTTCAGTTCAACTTCAGAGACCTGAATTGTCGTGAAACTTTAAAGCGCCAATCATAAAAAGAAGAAAACTTTATAAAAATTCTATTAGCTAATAATTAAGTCAATAAATAGTTATGGCTGTGACTGGAAGAGTAATTTTTTTTATTTTTTTTAAAACATTAAACTTTCGGGAACATGTTTCTTATTATTAAAATATATTATTATTTAATAAATAATAAATATAAAGTTTTTTTTTAAAATTACTTACACTGCTTTCGCTATATAAGGAAGTCCAGAGTTTTGCTAAATATAAAAGTTTTGTATAAATATAAATATAATAAAGTAATAATATTAATAATATAAATAATAAAACTTTTTTGTTTCTCGGTCAAGTTAATTCCGTATGTTTGCAAGGGGTTTACATGCTTCTTCCAATATGCAAGAAGCTTCGCGCTCATTGGACAGGCTGTTAATAAGCACCAATCAGGTCAAAAATAATTATATCCTTTTTGATAGTAAGAAAAAGCTTTTTAACAAAATTAGGGTGAGTATAAACATAATAATTATAACAATAAATATAAAAAACAATATGTAAAATAAAGCATAAATAATTGTAAAAAGTGATGCGCTCCACTAAAAATTGCGCCCAAAAATTTAATATAAACCAATTAAAAACGATTAAAGATGTGCTCAACCCGTCTTTTTTTTCCTAGTTTCATTGTTAAAGAAATTTTAACTTAAAAAATATATTTTTTTCTAATATTTAAAACTTGAAAATCGACAAAAATCGCCAAACTTTTTATTTTAAAAATTTTATGTAATATTTTTAAAAAGAAATTAAAAGCGAGCAATTTAAAAAAAAAAAAAAAGGAAAAAAAAAAGTTAGAAAAAACAAAACTCCGTTGAAAAATTTAATTTGATTTTTTTTCATAATAAAACAAAGCGCTGAACTTACAAGGAAGATGGAAGTTTCTTTCAAGTATTTTTTCGTTAATAATGATTTCTTTAATATTTCCTTTATCTGCTATTATTTTTATTAAAAAAAGAAAGGTTTTTTATGATAAATAATAATATTAATATATTAAATAGATATAATAATTTTTTTTTATTTCTTTATAAAGCTTGTTTCGTTTAATTATATATTTTAAATATATAAAATTATAATATTGACGTTTGTATTTCTATATAAAGTTTGTTAAAAAATTTAGAATAGAAGAAAATATAAAAAAAAAATATTTAAAGTAAAATAAATATTTATATATAAAAATATAAGTAAAATTATTATAGTAATAATAATAGAAACTTCGTAAATAATATTATTATAATACCAAAATTTAGTAAATTATAACATAAAATTTTCATAAAAAAAAGTATGATATAAAAATGTGTTTAAAAGAAAAATTTTATAAATTATTTAATAAATATTTAAATGAAAAATATTAATAAAATTTATTAATACAATAAAAATAAATATATATCAAAATATAAAAAATAATTGGTTACTCCTGACAAAAGTTTTATATTTATATTTTTATTTCTTGTTATTATTTACTAAGAACTTTACTTTCTAACGGAATAGTAATGTCAGAAGTATTTTGTATATTTTTTCTTATAATATCTCCCGATAAAACGATGACGTCATCAAGAAAAAGTTTATTTTTTCTTTTGGATTTATTCAGTTTTAACCGTTTTGGCTGAAATTCAAAATCTTCCAACTTTAATAATAAATAAGCTATTACTAATAAATAAATATATAAATGTTACGTCCATCCGTAGTGGCTCTAGGAGGTTGAATTTTTTATTGCATTAATAATAATAAAAAAGTGTTAAAAAGTTATATATCTATAAAAATTATTTTAGTAAATATTTTAAAATTACACAAATTTACGTAATTATTATATTAAGTCAATATTTAAAAAATGCACTATATATTTTGGTAACACGTACACATTTTATTAATAATTATATAAAAAGCTACTAAGAATTATAAAATGCTCAATTGTACCTATAAAAAATATAAACTTTAAATAAAGGTTATATATATACTTTTAATTAAATATTTTTAAATGTACATCTTTATTGATAAGAATTTTATATTAATATTTAAAAAAAAACTTTTTTAAAATAATTATATGTACTTAAATAAAATATTAACAATTATTAATTTTTTTTTAGGCATACATAATTATATTTATTATAATTATGAATTTTTTTATATAAAATAAATCAAACTAATAATTTGTTTATAATATTTTTTATTAAAAACAATTTTATTTTAAATTTACAATACAAATATTTTCAATATAAAAATTGCTCAACTCTCTTCAGTATAATTTATTATGAGTTGTTTTCCTTCGTAACTTTGATTTTTTTTTTTTCAAATAAATATTATTTCATATTAAAACATATTACCTTACATTTATTTTAAAATTTAATTTTAATTTTTTCTATTACCTTTTATATAGGAATATATAATTATAATAAAAGAAAAGATATATAGATCTAATAGAATAAAATAAATGAATATCCGATATAAATACGGAAAATAATAAAATAATAAAATAAAAAAAATATAAATACATAAAAAAGTAGGAATAGTAATAAAATTTATATAATAATAAATATTCATAATTAGTTAATTTTTTTTGAAATGCATTATTAAATAATTTTTATTATAAATTTATAAAGTAATTTTTTTTTTATTAATAATAGATTAAAAAAAAATTTTGTTATTATAATTTTTAAAATATACTGTTTATAAATAATTTTTTCCTAATTTTAAAAACTGTATGATTTGGTATATTATATATATAATGAAAACAACGTCTATTATAATAATACACTGTAAAATATTATTAATAATTATAAATAATTATTAGATATATTTACTTGCTATTGAATATAGTAAAATTATAAAGTAAATCTTATAAATAAGATTAATTGTAAAACTTCATAAAAATAATTATATTTAAACTAGTTGCAATATTATAATATATTCCATAATTTTTCTATTGTGGATTTGAATTGCATTATCTTACCGATTTTAATTAAATAAAAAATTTATTAAAAAATAATAGTTCTAAAATTTTGTTACAATAATGATATATAAAATAGTCGCAATATTATAATATATAATAAATTTTAAATAAATATTCAAAAATGCACTACCTTATTTATAAGTATAAAGATAAAAATTGCTAGTAATATTATTTTCATTCTATAAGTAAAAAAGACTTTTCAATAATTATTATATAAAAGAATAGAAATATTATAAAATGTTAAAGAAAAATAATACATAATTATTTAAAGTAGTATATAATTTTTTTTAAACTTAAAAATCCACGATAATTTTAACTATAAATATAAATTTTAAAATAAAAATTTTTATAATAAAAAATTTAAAATAAATTATTTTTGATGATAAGTTTAAACCAATCTTTTATTAATAAAAATATAATATTTAATTATAACTTTATATAAATATTATTTTATATAATAATAATTAAAATATAAAAAATGTAATTATTATTATTTATATATATAATTTTTTTTTATAATTGAATATATTAATATATTTATATAAACAAAAATAATATATTTTTACTATTTAAGTATTATATATATCATAGTTTATATAAAGTTTACAACAACTTTTTATTATTAATTAAATATAGTATTTAATAATATATAAAATATTATATATAAAATTATAATATTGTATAATATATCTTTATTATTACTTATATAAATAATTTTTTTTTATAAAAGAATATATTATAAAACCATTATTATAATAGTTTTATACAGAAACTTAGTAATATATACAATTTTATAACAATTTATTACCATAATACAAAGGATAAAAGTTTTTAATATGAATATATAGAAAAACATTATTCATAATAACTTTTCAATAATAATTATTTATAAAATATTTGCAATAACGTATTATTTTTTAATAATGCATAAAAATTCACAATTATATTTATTATAATAAAATAAAAATTTATCTAAAACAAATATTTTTATTTTATTAATTATCAAACTTTTATATAATATTTGTAAGTTGTTAAATATTAAAGTTTATCATTATATACTTTAAATAATATTTAAGAATATCATAATTATAAACAGACATTTTATTTACAATAACTATATATAAAACAATATATTAAAATAATAAATTAAAATTATTATTTAAAAATAATATTATAAACGCGGTTTATCTAAATAATAATTATATATATAAAAACAATAAAAGTAGGAAATAAATTATATATATTATTTATTTCATAAACATTTAGAAATGCACTATAAAATTTTTATGTTTATTATAATAATAGATTTTGAAATTTCTTTTTTACATTAATAATTAATAGACTTTTATTTATTAAAAAGATATTCTAATTATAAATGCGCTTTTTATAATAGTAAAATCAATATATAATACTTATAATAATAAAAAAAGAAGTTATATATCAATTTTTTTCTTTTATTATAAAAGTGTACCATAAAATTTTGTAAAAAGTTTCCTATTATATATTCTCAATATACTTTGTTAATAATTATTAATAATTATTGTATATAAAATATTTATTATTATTATATTAAAATAAACAAAATTTTTTTTAATAAAATATATATAGAAAGATTTATTCTAAATAATAATAATTATATACTAAATATTTGACATTATTGTATCAAAATAATAAATATATTAAAAGAAAATTTTAGATAATAATAATAATTATATATAAAAAATTACAATAATACAAAATAAGTTTATTACATTATTATAATAGTTATATAAATAAATGTTACAATTATTTAACTTTTCTATATCTCTTTACTTTTTATTTACTTTTTTTGTTTAATATAAACTTTTAGTAATATAAACAAAAACTTTTATATTCTTATAAAAAATATTTTATTCTAAATATAAAAGAAATTTATGAAGCACATTTATCCATTTATAAAAAGATAATAACTAATTAACCAATAGCAGGCCTGGAAGGCAGTTCAGCATCCAATTCGAAACTTGAGTTACTTAAAGA